CAGTTACACTTTAAAATGAATTATTTTGGGAATGATAGTCTGTTTTATAAAATGGAAGGAATGTGAAAGAGTCAGTTAGCTCATTTTACAAAGTTCTAATGTATAGTAGTATATAATTTGATACATCACCCACAGAAACCATTTCTCTGTCAGCATGCTAAAACTACAAGTGGTTGTCTTCTTGTTGAGTGTCATTGAAGTTATTAGTCAATGTCCACCTTCCTCAGGTAAGACACTGGATGTGAATAATAACAACTGTATAGGTTTTTATAGGTATCTACCTGAGGTATAATGGAAACTGTTATCCTAATGGATCATATTTTTGGGATAAAAGTATCAGACCAACTCCTCTAGAGTGTGTATTACCTGGTGCTACTCTGAATGGTGGACAATGGATTGGTCCTAATGGAGCAGTTCCTTGTCCTGGCAACAATTCCAATCTTTCCTGCACTGTTGGGTCAGGTGCTAGTCTCAGTGTACACATACCTATCACTGACTATCTTCAGCTACCTGGTGATGGCTGGTACAAGTGTTGTCTACCCACTAACTGTTCAGATCCTAACACTAACATCATCTTTGCTAATATATTCAGTAAGAAGAGACTATATTGTACTGAATTAATAATAATTTTTCATTTGTAGGATTTGCACAGATAGAATCATTTGCTGTTGCTGATCTTCCTTTTGATATGACAGTATAGCCTCAGGAATACAAACTGAATTGTACTAAAATTGGATTACATGTCTCTTACAATATCAGAATAGGCATTCATAATACTGCGTTGGCTAGTTACACTGGATGTATTGATGATAGTAATCCTTGTCCTGGTACTGTGTTAGATAGTAGTATTTATAATATAAGATATTCTGTCAATATCACATGGGATGGAATGACTGTCAGTGGTGGATCAATCAATCAATCAACCACTGGAGATCAAATGTATCAGTGTATAGTGGCAGTTACTGATCAACCAACTAGAATACGTAATGTAACTATAAAAGGTAGCAAATTAAATTTGATCTTAATAATATCAGATTTACATATTTTTATAGTAC